GGGACAGTGGGGACAGTGGGACAGTGGTGGGGACGGTAGTGGTGGGGACAGTGGTGAGGGTGGTGGTGGGGACGGTGGTGGGACAATGGGGCAGTGGTACACTGGGGAGAGTGGTGGGGACAGAGGGGACAGGGGGACAGTGGTGGGGATGGGAACAGTGGGACAGCACAGTGGGACAGCGGTGGGGACAGTGGGACAGTGGTGGGGACAATGGGGAGAGTGGGACCGTGGTGGGGACAATGGTGGGGACAGTGGGGACACTGAGACACTGGTGGGGGCACTGGTGGGGACAGTGGGGACAATGGTGGGAACAGTGGGGACAGTGGTGGGGACTGGGACAGGGTGGTAGTGGGGACAGTGGTGCGGGGGCAGTGGGACAGTGGTGGGGACAGTGGGGAGGGTGGTGGGGACGGTGGTGGTGGGGACAGTGGTGAGGGCGGTCAGGAGGACGGTGGCGGGACAATGGGACGGTGGTACAGTGGGCACAGTGTTGGGGACAGTGGGGACAGTGGTGGGAACAGTGGGACAGCTCAGTGGGGTAGCGGCGGGGAGAGTGGGGACAGTGGGACGGTGGTGGGGACAGTGGGGACAGTGGGACAGTGGTGGGGACAGTGGGAATAGTGGGGACACTGGGACCGTGGTGGGAACAGTGGTGGGGACTATGGGGACAGTGCGACAGTGGTGGGGGCACTGGTGGATACAGTGGGGACAATGGTGGGAACAGTGAACAGTGGGGACAGTGGGACAGTGGTGGTGGGGACGGTGGTGCTGGGGACAGCGGTGAGAGCGGTGGTGAGGAGGGTGGTGGGGACCCGTGAGTCGTTGCCCCGCGGTGAGAACTGGTAGTGACCTTTCTGGAGGGGGGGAGTTTTTTGTTTTTTGTTTTTTTCCGAACTGGTAGTGACCCCCCCCTGGTTTTCCGGAGGGAGGGAGTGGGGAGGGGTTAGGGGGGTGGAGGGTTTGCCGGGGGAAGCGCGGGGGGGGGGGTCGAGCAGGGGGGGATTGTCGGAGGGGGGGGACCCCCAGGCTCCAGAGGAAGAGGGTGGGTAATTTTCCACAGCAAGGCTGGGGTGGATCACATTTTTTCTAGATGTGAAGAAGAAGCCTAATACGAACACTAAGAAGAAAAAGGAGAAGGGGAGGATGATGATGATGAGGAGGAGGAGGAGGAGGAGGGAAGAGGAGGAAGAGGAGGAGGAGGAGGAGGAGGAGGAGGAGGAAGAGGAAGAAGACGTGGAGCAAAGGGGGAACAGGTAGGAGTGATGGCGGAAGAGTGGAGAGAAGGAGGAGGAGGAGGAGGAGGAGGAGGAAGAAGAAGACGTGGAGCAAAGGGGGAACAGGGAGGAGGGATGGCGGAAGACTGGAGAATTGCTGGGAAGTGTAGACATGGCACGTCTTGCCACGCCTTTGCCCAGGACAACGAGCAGGACGAAGTAGTTTTTCGTGTGAGCAAGAGAGGTAGGGTGGAGGGAAATTCTGTGGCATGACCGGCCCAGAAGAGCTCGTCGTCGATGACCCTCAAGGACGAGATCAAGGACGCCGCCCCCTCTTGCAGGAAGAGGGGGAGGATGAGTGAGGGTGGGGGGAGGAGGATTGAGGGACGGGGGGAGGATCGTCGTCACCGTCATCCACCTCATCATCTTTCTCCCTCTCCAAAGGGAGGAAACACACCCCGAGATTCATGTTTTGGCGTGTACCAGAATTCGCCAGTCGGTTTCTGAACAGTCCTGCCCTGTTCGATTTCTTCCGTAGGTGCGTTTGCTAAATGGCCTCGCTTGTAGGAGTGCTTGTTCTGAGGGTGGCTCTTCTGCCCTCTAACTCTTCCCCCGTTCATCCCTCCTCCGTCTTCCCTCGTGTCGCTCGTGCTCCCCGCATTGTCTCCCTGCTCACTCTGCCTCCCCTCTCATATCATATATCTCCTCCTGGTTCGTTGGTGTCCTCAATCGTTGGTGTCCTTAATCGGTCTCTCCCTCTCTCTCTCTACTCTTCCTCCTAGCCCTCTACCTGAACGTTCATCTTGGTCCTCCCCGTCATCTCAACTATCCTTTTTTTCTTTGTGTGGTATCCCCTCCTCATCCCCATCGATATTTATGTTTGTTTGTTTTCTATATCTCTCTACATATTGTCATTTCAATTCGACACCTTTTCTTCGTCATTACTTCTCTCTTCAATTTCCTCTCTCCTCATAATCACCGTTTTCGTCGTCATGAACATATTCATCGTATTCATCATCGCCACCATCATCATCACCACCATCGTCATCACCATCACCATCAGCATCACCATTGTCTTTACCATCGCGATCATCATCAGCATCACACCACCATTATCATCATCATCACCACCATCACTCCCAACATAATCATCACCAACATCACCACCACCACCATCATCATCACCATCATCATCATCATCATCATCATCATTATCATCACTATTTCCAACATCATCATTACCATCACCATCGCCACCACCATCATCAGCATTATCATCATCAGTGGCATTATCACCATCACCATCATCACCATCACCATCATCTCCATCACCATCTTCAGCATCATCAGCATCGGCATTATAAACACCATCAACACCACCATCACCATCGTCCTCATCATCAGCATCACCATCAGCAGCATCATGATCATCACCACCATAATCACCATCATCACCATCACCATCACCACCATCATCATCATCATCATCATCATCATCATCATCATCATCATCATCATCATCATCATCATCATCATCATCATCATCATCATCAGCATCATCATCATCATCATCATCATCATAGCCTTTTTGGCTCAAGCATGTGCTGAGTCAAGGGCCATAATTAGGGTGCCCGTGCGCCCCCCGCTGCGTCTCCGCCTCGCTGGGATGGTCTGCGCTGCTCGTCTGAGGTGGCTTGCCGATCAACTCGCTCAAGGTAGGCAGGTTCGTGCTCGCTTCAACTCGTACTCCGACCGCGTGACCTTCAACTTCGTCCTCCTGCTGATCTGGGACCCCACCATGCTCAACAGCTTTGCGAACCACCTCGTCCAGCTCTGCTCCACTTACTGCAGGGCGCCGTTGTGGTCGATCATGGGCACTCCTCGTCGACAGGCGCGTCCCACAGATCGGTCTCCATGAAGCGCGCTCCTCCTGTTCGTGCTTTAGATCAACCTGCTGGTGAAGACCCGGGGGTCATGACGGCGGTGATGAACCTGGACGCGGGCCCCCCCCCCTGGTCGTCGGCATCGTGCTGCGCCTCGGCTGGCTCATGATCCTTGGCACGGTTCCGGAAGTGCTGACCCTTGGGCTGCGGCGGCGGCGGTGCCCAAGAAGCCTAGGGCCCGTGGCCGCCCTTTGGTTCCATCGTTCCCTATGCTTTGTGCTGAAGGTGTTCGCCCCGAGCCTTTCCATGACGAAGCTGTTCGCGAAGCGCCTCTCCATGCTGCGGCTTGTGCGGATCTTCTTCACGCTTCGGAGGCTCGTGCGAGTGCTGATCTACCTGTACGTGCTGATCCTGATGTCGATCCTCCCGTTCGTGCGGATCCTAATGTCGATCCTCTGGCACGTGCTGATCTTCCTGTACGTGCTGATCATGTACGTGCTGCTGAAGCTGATCTACCTGTACGTGCAGATCTTGATCTCGATGTTCTTGTGCGTGCGGGTTATGATGTCGATCCTCGTGTTCGTGCTGATCGTCTTGTACGGGCTGATCCTGTACGTGCTGATCTTCCTGTACGTGCAGGCCTTCCTGTACATGCAGATCCTGCTCGTCCTGTTCCTGGACGTGCTGATCACGTACGCGCTGATCTTCCTGAGCATGCTGGTCCCGTTCGTGCTGGTCCTCATGTACGTGCTGATCTTCTGTTCCTGCCGCGCGCGCGACTCCTGTACGTGCTAATCTCCCTGTCAATACAGATCCTGTTCCTGGTGATCCTCATGTACGTGCTGATCCTGATGTCGATCCTCCCCTTCGTGCGGGTGTTGAACTGGCGGGGATTGCTGCGCCTCTGCAAGTGCACCTTGAGGCGCACATAGAGGCAGTCTCGTCGCAACTCGAGATGGCCTCTTTCATGTTCACGCGGATCCTCAGGATGGTTATGTACACGGTGCTGCTCGACACGTACGCGCTGAGCCTCCTGATCTTCCTGTACGTGCAGACCTTCCTGTGCCTGCAGATCCTGTTCGTGCTGATCCTGAATGTATGGATCACGTACATGCGGATCTTCCTATACATGTTGTTCCCGTACGTGCTGGTCCTCATGTACGTGCTGGTCCTCCTGTTCCTGCCGCGCGTGCGGCTCCTGTGCGTGCTGATCTCCCTGTCAGTGCAGATCCTGTTCGTACTTATCCTCCTGTGCGTGCTGATCTTGATGTTGATCCTCCCGTTCGTGCGGATATTGAACTGGCGGGGATTGCTGCATTTCTGCAAGTGCACCTTGAGGCGCGCATAGAGGCAGTCTCGTCGCAGCCCGATGGCTTCTTTCATGTTCACGCGGATCCTCATGATAGTCATGTGCACGGTGCTACTCGACATGTACGTGATGAACCTCCTGCGCGTGCTGATCTTGATGGTGCTCTCCCTGTTCGTTCGTCGCTCCCTGGGCTTCCTGTTCGCCTGCCTCTTCCTCCTCGTCGTCCTCGGCCTGGGTCGTCCTCGCCGTCGACGTGACCGAGCGCAGGGGAGGTACCCTGGGCCCCACCCTGGGTGGATCGTGATCGATGCTTGCATGGAAAATCATAATTGTCATCATCTTAATTATCATCATCACTACAGCCATCAGCATCATCACCATCATCATCATCATCATCACCGTCATCAACAACAACATCACTCCTTTTCGAGCTGCGCGCAGCCATGGTGACGATAACCTACGTAATCACACACGCACGCACACTCACTTCCGCTTTTCTCTCCTATCCTCTTCCCTCTTCCTCTGCCCTTATCCTTTTCCATCCTCTCCGTTCTCTCCTTGTCTAATCCTTCCTCATCAACCCTTATCCTTCCCTTTTCCTTTTTCTCTTTCTTTTTTTTTTTTTCTCTCTCTCTCTCTCTCTCATTTTTTTTTTTTTCTCTCTCTCTCTCTCACTCATACCCTTTTCTACTCCCATGCTATCTGCTTATCCCTTGTGGCCGACGACGGACGTGAAAACTCACACGGTTCCGGCCAATGCAGGAATCAGGATGAGGAACAGGAGCAGGAGCAGGGGGGGGAAAGGAGGGTGAGGAGGAGGAGGAGTAGGAAGAGAAAAGGAGGAGGAGGAGCAGGAGGAGGAGGAGAGGAGGAGGAGGAGGGAAGAGGGGGGGGGGGTGAGGGAGGGAGGGGGAGGAGGAGGGAGGAGGGAGGAGGGAGGAGGAGGGGATACGGGGGGATAAAACAGGGTGGGAGGAGGGATGGTTGGATCAGGCGGAGGAGAAGGAGGATCGATCGATTGAGCTGTGGGGCCGATGTCTGGTTTGAAGCCGACTCTGAAGCATGCTACTTTACAACAATTTATTTCTAATTCGGCCTAGCTTGTGTCAGCCAAATATGGCCAAAGTCCCGATTCTTCGAATCTCCAATTTCGAAGGTTTGAAGAGGCATGGGGCGCGGAGTTGACGAGTAGAGGCAGTTTTGTCATTGTCGTACCATCATCGCCACTGTCGCTATCACTGCCACCATCATCACAATCAGCATCGTCATCGTCGTTATCATCATCCCCATCGTCATCTTAGTCGCCGTCATCTTCACAACATCAAGCCAGTATCATGTCCTCGTCATCATGGTCGTTGTCCGCACCGTCGCACTACCATCATCAATGGCATTCAATCGCCAGTACGCCATCGTATCAATAGCATTATCGCCGTCGTCTCGGTCGTAGTCGTCGTCTTCGTCGCCGTCGTCGTCGTCGTCGCCATCACGAATAACAACACAATCATCCTCACCATACTCCCCATCATCGTCACCGCGCACTCGAGCTGGCGAAGGGATTGAAACGACTCCGGCGGCCGACCTGGGCCGGTGCGCCCCAGGAGACCCAGGGGGCGCTGGCAAACCTCATGAAGGCGCAGTCGGAAGCCGACCAGGCAGGTCCCCCTCCGCCGCTGCCGACGTCCACGACCTTGCCGACTCGCGTCGTCGTCGTCGTTGTTGTCGCTTACGTACGTCGTCGTCTTCGTCGTGGTCGTCGTCGACGACGTCGACGCCGATGAGGACAAGGACGAGGCCGTCGTCGTCGCCTCCGCGGCCGTCGCTGCGGCAGCGACGAAGAAAACGGCGTGGACGGCTACGGCGATGGCGACGGCGGTGA